AACAAATGTAACTATTATCCAAGAAATACAACATTCTCCCATACTCCTTACCAAACAAAAAGTGAATAGACTAATTCATGACTTATTAGAATAGACTATGAAAAGCTACATTGCATCCTGGGTATGTCATAGAATCACCTCCATATCACAACTATTGATAAGCTTACTATTAAAATGCTTTGTCTTACTTTAACAGAAGGTTAATTAAGAGATCACAATATACAGATTTGAGGAAATCTCATACAAAATGTTCAGATTCTTCTCTCTCTACCAAGTCAGTTTTGACTCTATCGATTCTCAAGTCTTGAGTGGAATTATTCAGGAACAACCTTAAACTGTGATCACTGGCATGTCAGATAAATACACCAAAAGTCAAATCTCTAATTGAGTATGTCAAAACTGATTGGCATCATATCTCAGGTCAAGATCTTTATGTTTTTCACTTTTCTCAGTTTACATCAATTGGAATCAGCATGGAGATCCTAAAGTAAATGATTACAAAAAGCATTAAAATCAGCATTCATTCAAGTGGCCCTACCACAGGGTAATCTGCAATCATTTTTGCTGTTTCTGAAGGAGTGGCCCCAGGGCCCTGAACATCAGAATGAACTCATACATTTATTAAAAGTTCAGATTCCTGGACCCCACTCCAGTCCGACTAAATCAAAATTTCTGAGGTTTGGCCTGGAAATCTACATTTTAAATAATTTCCCAAATATTTGTTTTGCATACTCAAGTTTGAGAACCTCTGCCAGGAGACTGAACCCTGGAAAATGATTTGCCTCATTTTGTAAATTTCTAGCATGGATCTTGCTTTTACAGACTATCAACAATTCATTTAACATAAAATTTATATCCACTTTCCACCATTTTAAGAGTTTTGCTATTCTGTCTTATTTTAAAAAATGGTATTTCACTGAATCTTTTATACAAATATACATTTCTGAAGTAAGCAGACTAATATTTTACGGGAAATGCTGAAAAAACTAGGACTAAATATAAAAAGAAAAACAGGACTGAATTCTGGGCCCCACAATGGTCAACATCTACTATGTACCAGACGGGGGATACAGTGATGGCTAGACAAAGTCCCTACCCTCATGTTCCCTTTATTTATGCACTTAAGTAATTTATATATGTACATAAACAAAGAAGTACGAAGTTTCAGAGAGTGGCAATGCCATGAAGATAATGAAACAGGTTGCATGATAGAGAAAGACTGTGGGGGACGGGGAAGAGAAGGTGGCTGGCTATATTGGATAGAGGATGAAAAGTCGTTTTCTTGAGGAGGTAACATTTAAACTGAAACCTGGAGAAGTAGCCAGTCAGGTGAGGGTTGTGTGGCAAGTATTTTAGGCAGAAGGAACTGTAACTATAAAGACCCTAAGGTGAGAACAAGGTTGTCAAGAAATTATTATAAGAACTAAATCAGAAATCAGATAATATATAAAAGGTTTTATGAAATAGAGAACTATGTAAAAGTATAAAGTATTATTTTTAGTAATATATTAGAATAGTTTCAGGACAGAAGACAGGACAATGAAGGGCCCCAGGTCTATGCCACATGAAGAATTAATTAAACAACTGAGGCTCTATTGCCTGAAGAGCAGGAGATATAAATATGTGTTTGGGGGAAGGAAGGAGAAGTTTTCTTCAAATAACTGAAGGACTATGTTCTTATGGAAGAATATTTATTTTTAAATAGCTCTGGGAGTGTGGTAAACATTTTAGGAAAGCAGAATCTTGGCTCGATATGATAATGAACATTCAAAGAAAGCTGCAGGAAAATGGACCGACTGAGAGGGAACGAATTCCACGTGACCGAAGGTGACTTTACTTCATTCTTCACAACCTTAAGGAAGTCTCAAGAGAAACCTGAGCAATAGTGAAGAATCCACCATAGTCCCAATTCACATTGTCACCATGGAATAAAATATGTCTCTATCTCTATAATAACCGATATATGTTTCAAAAGGACAATTAAGAAACAAGATAGACTAACATTCATTTCTGAAGTGTGTGGCTACAATTTAGTGGTGTTTTAGCAGTAAACACTGAACAATTGTTTTGACTCATTAAAATAATTACTCTATTTTAACAAAAACATGTCTGGATTCCATTAGGCCCCAATAGGTGGCATGCCAATAAACATGCCAACACCTTTAGCAAACACGTGTGTGGCCTTTTGTTGGTTTGTTTTTCAGTGAGAGCCATGGGCCCAGGAAGATGATTTCTTCATTAAAAGTCCTGACAGAGAATCATTACTCTTTCTTATTCGTTTATTCTGTCCAGTTAATCAAGTAAAAAACAGATACTGAATTAACGCAGATCACCTAAGACCAAAATGCTACAGATAAACAAATCTAGCCTTCCAAGGACAAACAGATCAAGCTAGACTTAGGAGTTTAAACTAGAAGCAATTTTGAAAAGCTAAACACAACTATAAAGGTTATTAATCTTTAAATAAGATATTTCTATTTCCACATCCAGATATATGTGGCTTATATGCAGATATACCTCAGGAAATAGTCTTTTAATATCTACATATACTTTTTATTGTTTTATGTTTCTTAAAAACTACTTGTAAATAAAATTATATTATGACTCCCTTAGGATGGCTTATAAAAAGAAATATAACAAATCTTCTCATAAAATAAAGGCTATGTCCATATAATTGTTCATAAAATTACACTTCTTTTTTGTGAAATCCAGGAACACCAAAAGCTAATTTACAAAGCAAGTATTTATCATAGAATTTTTTTTTTATATAAGAATCTTTTCCTAGGGCTATAAAATTGCTATTTATGCCTATAGTATTTTTAGAAATACACCTATTCCATAAAAGTTAAATATAACCCACAATGTGAACAATCACTTTCTAAGTTATTTCTCTTTAGATTCACATGTATTTGAGTTCAGATTCTGCTATTTTATTAAACTAATCCTTCAGAACTCAGGGTAACAGCAGGGCTGGATTAGTTGCTCAGGAAACTCAGGTGTCTCTGTTCATGAGTGTGTGTCACCTAATATCATCTGAGTTTCCTAGAAACTGAACACTTACATGCTCAGGTTGTTTTAACTCTTTAGATAAATCATTATAAGTCTCCAAAGCATTTCTAACTACATTATCACTAGACTAATGCACAGAAAAGCTGCAATGCCATAAACCGATACCTAGAGCTGGTGAAAGAAACCAAGTCTCTTGTTCCAAAGTACAGTGCATTCACCATGACCATGCTCTAATCTCCTTTCAGCTTTCATAGTGCCAAAGTTTTGTATCAACCACTAAGAGAATGGGGCCCTTTAGAATAACATTGTTAATAATGTAGTTGGTGAATATCTTTCCTCTCTAAAATATTTGACCTCGTGCATTTGTTTCCTTTTTTTATCAAGTACAAGATATTAGGGATCATTGTGGATTTTCTAAACCTTCCCATCTTTAACTGAATCTCTTCGTTATCTTCTCTTGCAAGAGTCCACTTCTCAGAGGACAAAGCTGTGAATTGTTCTCTAAATGTATATTCTATAGCTGGTAAGCATAGTACGATGGGATGACTCTAAGAAATGGCACCATAAAACCAACAGCATGCTACAGAGTTGTTCCCCCATATTGACAACAAATCGGAAGTAATTTTCTACCTAAATCAGAGCTTAACTCATTAGCTCAAGTTAATTCACAAGTTCAATCCAATTTCTCAAAATGCAATAATACAATTCCAACCTCATTATCTTCATTGAAAGTATTTAAAAGCATTTGCTGAGACACATTTCTTTCTTGTGTCAGACAGGATCAACGTCAAGTGAACATCCTGAGTAGACTATATTCTGTTTAATTGCAGGGGTTGACATTTTAAGAAATAATCATTTCTTGCAAGGGAGAAATTTTCTCCTGGAGTGAACACCACAAGGTACCTCCGGTAAATAAAGGTTTAAATATGTATCTGTTTACAACAATTGTGCTTTAAAAACCAGATTCTCAACCATATGATACATGCATACATACACATACACGCGCACGCGCGCGCGCGCACACACACACATATGCATATATATGTATACGTGTGTGTATATACTTCTGACATTCTGTAGAATTGGCAATATTACAATCTGGTGATTTCTTCAATAATTTTAATAAACTAAGAGAGTTTAGGGCTCAGAGAAGGAATTTAAAAATAGAACAAGAGTGATGATTCGTAATGGAAATGCCATCCCATATCACTACCACTCAGGAAAATGATGGATATTTCCCTAGAAATAATCGTGAGGAAACAGTCGGTTTGTTTTGAAGGCATTTACTTCAATAGCTCATTCACTAAACCCCCTGAGTTTTAGTCCAAAAACAGTTCATTTCCATTTCCTTTTGATAATCAGAAAGGGAATCAACCCACATTTTCAAACGACCATTTTTCAGGTCATTTACTAGGGGAAAATATCTTTCAAAAGCATTTCTGGGTAAATTTGTAACCAAAAAAATAGTAAAAGGGCAAGAAGGACTTCTTATTCCTCAGCTCAACCTCAACCTGAGTTTAACTTTTAATTATTTCCTATCTTGTAAAACTCATTGCTGCCATTAGGCCTTTGCTTTGTGAAGTAGCCAGCACTAAACTCATTTAACTCATGCCCTAGGCCAATAACAAATCTACTTTTCTAGCTGCGATACTTTAATAGCTTAAATTTCTAAAGTAAATGTTATCTTTCCTCCTTTGAAAAACAGTTTCTGGCAATGATTAAAGTTAAGGAAAAACTTCAAATATGCAGAATTCACTTGTCAGACATAAACACTGTAATACATAATGAAGGGAAATGCCCAAATCTCAGAATCCAGTTTAGGCGATGGGACTACAGATATATTTTAAAAGACAAAGTAGCCAATTAACAAGTATATTATTTCGTTTTAAATCTATTATGAGGCATATATGAGTAAGAATAGACAGCACTACAATTCAGCATTCGTGAACCAAAACCACACATAAGCCATATTCAAAGTCAATTGAACTTACCTTATAAACTTGTCCATATGTTCCATTTCCAACAAGTTCCACCAATTCAAAGATCCCTGCAGGGTCCTGAAAGAAAATAAACAAACAATAAAAATTCAAAGCAATATTCCAAGCATTGTCTTAATCAAAAACAACACTTATTTAAAACATGCAAATAAATAACAAGTTTAGCTTTGGGGGGCTCTTGTGTGTTAATATTAAATATTATTAAAATTTAATTCAGCTGTAGCTATGAAACTAGTCATAATCCATTTTGTCTCTATTTTACTTTTCTATGAGAAGTGTTTAAATCAGAGAAGTGTTTAAAGGAGACATGACTTCCATTGAAACAGTAAAAAAGGATTAACACATTTCTCACTGTCAAATGGAAAAACACTTGTAGATACGTACATCAGGATAAAATGAAAGACCCACCACCCTAAAGGGGTTCTAATTTTTGAGATCTTTCTTTTCGAAATTTCTGAGCTGTACATTGTGTTGAACACTGGCAGTTAAGAAAGGGGTGCTCCTGCATTGTGGGGCTATCTTACCAGATAGTCACCATGGAATCAACACAACTGCCTCTCTTATAACGTTTTTCTTAGAATTCATCTCTGCTCTCTACAATGCTGCTTCTGCAAAATGGATTTTGCAGATGGCCTCCAGTTCCTGCAGTATCTAAAGAGTACCTGCAGGAGTTAGAGTGCACTAAATTAGGGAATTATACAAGTTCTTACCGCCAAGCAGGTGTCTCCTAAACCTCAGTCAGCCGTGTTAGAGTGCTCAGCAAATGTCCAACAATTGCTGCTATTATTACTGAATTACTATCCCAAAAAGTTGAAAGAAAAATCAAAGGCTGTAAAATTCAACTCGGAGGCAGAAATTGACGTTGACCTCTACTGACTCCTAACTGGAGAGAAATTGTTTCTTTAAAGGCCTAAAATCAAGAATCGCAAACTGAAATGCCCACAGAGGCGAGGTGAGTAAGGTAAAAGTAAAGTGGGGTAGCTTGGGCCTGTGCTAAACTGAAGAAGTCATGTCTCCTTTGGGTGGGGCAGGGGTGCGGGATTTTACTGAGCTGGAACCAATTGTACTGTCAACCTACGAACACAATATTGCCAGATTCGAATATTTTTTCCAAGAAAAACTGAACATTTTTTTTAATGTGAGAGCCTCTAATTTTTAAATGTTAGGCACTAATTCAGTTTAAAAAAAAAAAAAAAACTCTGAAGGACAAATAAAGAAGACTGCCATCTCCAGCCTAAAAGCATTTACTATTTCTCTTCAACACTTTTATGAGCATGCTGCCATATTTATTACAGTGGCTGAGAGGCAGGTGGGGGAAAGTCTGAGCTCTGGCTTCAGACAAACCTGGGCTGAACACTAGCTTTACATTGACTGGCTGTGTGATTCTAGGACACCCTGAGAGAGCAACTTAGTCTCTGAGGTGATAAAACGGGATGACATCCACCTAGCAGACCTCTGATGAAGAATAAGTGAAGATCCAGCGCCATGCTCACACATAGACAGCAACCACACGCTGTGCACAGCAATCAATTAATATCCGATAATACTTTTTAAGCTGAGGAATTCCACGCCACAAGTAGCATAGAAAGGGAGAAGAGCTGCCTTGGCGCTGCTATTTCTGGAGAAGGAGATACATGAGTTTGATGTGACGAATTAGAGTTTTTTAAAGTTACAGTACTAAATCAGGCCCAAGAAAAGCCCTTTGCTATGTGCCTTCAAAGATTCCACACAGAAAACAAATAAAAAACAAAGCAAAATCAGAAAAGCAGCAATTAAAGCACTTAGTTTCTGAGAAAGACTGGAAGTAGCATTATATCTATTATTATAAATCCAGAAAGGCCAGAAACCATACTCCAGACTCATGTCTCAACAGATCTAACAGTCCAGAAGTTCCAGCCACACCCGACCTGGTCAGGGAGATGTGGACACCGTTCCAGATGGAACCATGAGACAGGAGAACACAGTAAGGTCCTCCAGCTCTGTCGACTGAGACCCTATCATCTCTAAAAGAGACGATCAAGGCCACCTGGGAGGCCCCAGGATAGAAAAGAAAAATTGTGTTTGTTCAACTACTAGGCCATTAGAGCAGCAGGTTTTATTAAAAACAAATTAGAAAGAAATAAGGAAAGGAGGGGAAAAAAGCCCACAAATGGTGGCAGCTGCTGTTTGTTTCTAAGCTATGCTTCCCAGTAGTTTGTTTGCTCAGTGCTGTTTCTGCAACAAATTTCAAGAGAGGCTCTACATTTGCTTGAAATATTTCAATTGTGTTTTCAACATTAATTTTTCTTGAGTAAAAAAAAAAAAAATGAACCAAGAAGAGGAGATGCAGAACGGTGAATATTAGCTGCCGTAAGGAGCCTGGGGAGCGTTGGATGGGTTGAAGGGGAGGGAAGAACAGAAACAGAGTGCAGAACAGGGACCAGTTTCTACACCCAGGGGTCACCCCACCTCATGGACTCCTCCTCAGGGCTGGGGTTTAATTGGTAGGTCTCAGGAGGAGCTGAGCAGCTGAGTTCTAGGCTCTTTCCTCTCTTTGAATAGCCCATGAAGGTGCATATGGCCCAGCCAGTTGAAGCCAAGGAGGCTCAATGCCAAGACTTCAGTTCCAGCTACTGGGAGAGAGGCTCTTTCCACCGGACACATCCAAGGGGCTCAGAAGCGAAGGTCACAGGGACTACAGACTTTGGTTGGCGACCTCTCTCAGGTAACCAACCAAACTGAAAATAATCATTGACTTAAGTTGGTTACTCAGGAGATAGACTGAAAATCACTGAGATTTACATGGAGGGAGTTTATTCTGCTGTGTGCAGTGGGGGAGTAAAGGAAGAAGTACTAGACTGAGCAGATGGAAGACGTCAGCTGTGATGCACAGGAGCTTTGAATCTGAGATGGCTTCAAAATTATCCTACCTTGAGGCATAGAGGCCTTTGTACCCCAGCTCCACTGAGTAGTCATTGTATGCAGGCTGTCCCCTGTCCCTGTCCCAAAGGTTATGATCTTGGGTAAAGCGACATTCCTTCAGCTGAGGTCAGCTCCCAAGTGAGAACCATCACAAGTTGCCTAAACTCCCATCAGGTGGACAATAGTGCCTTAGCAATGCAGAGGGGATTGAGTGACACATCCCAGCATCGAGTACAAGCATCATGGCTAGAAATGAGTACCAGTTTGTAACTGGAAAAGAGTCTATAAGCTTCTACCTTATACAGTATCCTGATAGTAATAAGGCAAAATGGCATGATTAGAGTCATATTACTTGCAAAAAGGGGGCTCTCTGAAAACATAGAAAGTAGAAGGCAGATGTATTGTTAAGGGGCACTTGAATTTAGCACTGACCCTAATCCACCCCTCTCCTCCACCCCTAACCCAGTACCTGAAGAGCTGGGTATTTGTGGATATTCCCTCATATAAATGTATATAATTGTAAGTTATGTTCTTCTGGAATAGGAATATAGCTTAAATAAGGTAAGCATTCAGTTGTTTTCTCCACTCTTACAAGACTCCAACATGCAGTTGACCCTTGAACAACAGGTTTGAACTGTACAGGTTCAACTTATATGCAAATTTTTTCAATAAATACTGTAAACGTATTTTCACTTCCTTATGATTTTCTTAATAACATTTTCTTTGCTCTAGCTTACATTAGTGTAGGAATACAGTATGTAATACATGTAACATACAAAATGTGTATTAATCAACTGTTTCTGTTATGAGTAAGGCTACTAATAGTTAAATTTTGGGGGAGTCAAAGTTGTACACAGATATTTAACTGCATGGAGATCGGTACTCCTAACACTCTCCCGTTGTTCAAGACTCAAATGTAATTTCTCCCAAGGATCACCAATTACCTCAATCTCTAATCTCTAGGGGTCTCTTCTCAGTTCTGTCCTTTTCAGGCACTTATACTGCTGAGTACCACCACCCATGTTGAAAAGATTTGTCCCGCATCACACCACTCAGTCTCTCACAGAGATCCTGCTTCTTTCTTCCGACCATATCTCAAAGGTAGGTTGACCCCAAAATTCTATTCTCACGTTGTTCACTAAGTGCTAAAGATTTTATCTCCAAATGTCCCCCAGATCCAACTACCTACTCCACTCTGTTCACGCAACAGGCCTCACCATCTCTTGCTATGACTATTTATTTGCAGTCGATTCTTTTTCTCCTTTCAATTATCTTCACAGTGATCTTTCTAAAATAGACATCTCTAAACACAACACACCATGCTTTAAAATTCTACACGATGTGGCTCGAATTGAAAGTCAAGGTCCCATTGAATAAGGTTGATGTCCCACTCCCGATGCTCCACAACATGTAGAGAAAGTCACAAAAAATGGGAACAGAATGTTAAGCCAAAAGTCTAGCAAACTATGTCATCTTTTTCAATCTAGACATGCCATCCCAGCCACTGTCCCCTTCATCCCCCTTATCCTGCTCCCAACTGCACAAAACTCACATACAAAGCCCCTATGGTATTCCCAGCTCTAGAGAAAGTTTATAAAGCCCATTGCTTTAAGCCGTGCCTCGGGTCCATTGAGAAAGCAGGCTGTCAGGATGTGGCCATGTGCAATGCAACAAGGGGAAGATACGGTACCTAATGATTATGTTACAAAGACAGGAAAGCTAAGAGACAAGAATCAGTTTAATTCTCTCTCTCCTGTTTGCTTAGCTGCTCGTTAAGCCAGGATGGGCAGCATGAAAGAAGGTTACATACACCAAGGAGAAAAGAGCAAATCATTGACATTTACCAAAGTCAGGAATCTCTGTTGGCTACACATGCCTTTATTCAGATCTTAACCTTTGCTGGGAGGCTGAGAAAAAAAAATTAATTTTAAGATAGAGTAGTTTATATTATTTCATAATGAAATATAACTACTACATATCAAAAGGCAAGCTGTTGCATGAAAGAAAAGTAACTTTTCAGTAGGTACTGATATAGGCAAATTTGGTTAGTCATCATAATAAAATTCACAGTAATAGCTAACATTTCACGAGAATTTGTAGGCCAGGCACTAGTTTAAGCATTTTCCATGAATAGACCATTTAATTTTCACAACTCTATC